ATCTGAATTGAAAAGTGGGAGAAAAGTTGCTTACTGTATTTTGCCGCCTTTGATGGTTCTGATGATCAAGATGACAACGTCAAAATCTAAGTGTTCAGGAGTCGATGAGGATTCAGGAGTTTTTGAATTGATGCAGAATCAAGGTTGGGGGTTATTATAGGCCTAATAGTGCACCACGTGATTTATGTCCAGGCCCCCGTGACATGCAGTTGTCATGTGACATGTAATTAACTAATTGAATTGCAAAAACAATTCCGACAGCAAATAACCGCATCCACAACAACAATGCGTGGATGCAAAGAAAGAAACCATTTTAAACCCCTTTCTGTATATTTGTATTTGTATTCCTTTCTGAAACTATCATTCTACAAACAGTTGTGTTCACCGCCCATTGTGATACTTCTACTTAAGAAAATAAAAAAGGATGTTTATTTAGTCATTTGACATGCGTTCATTGTAAACAAGGATTAGTGTGAAAGGATTACTAAGTTTGTCATCCAGTATAATGCACTTCCTCGATTAGCATAATTAGAACAGAGTTTGTAATTAGTTATATCCTCACTCCAGTTAACCAAGGCAGCTACTTCAGTTGTGATTTATGAATTTGTGGAATCTTAATGAAAATAACGACCGCCTGTCACAAAAATGCAAACGAACATTGAACACGCACAGTTGCAGATTTTCCTTTCGTACATTTGAGGGTGAACGTGAACGAAGCCGTGCAAGATGCTTTACAGCGATTTGTCTTCAGAACACATATTGAGCTCAGGTAAGTTTATTAATGATGATATTTTCATCCATTCATAGATATGGCGATCATGAGCGCTGACACTATATGTATTCGCAATAGAACATTTGGAAGACTAGACACAAATTGAGTCACAATATGACAACATCAAATCAAAGAATTTGTTTAATGCAACAGATTTAAGGCATTGAAATTGTACATTATTATAAAATACATGAGTGTCGCTACGTCTCATGTCAAATACATCAATGAATTCTTTATAAAAAAAATTAATTTAATATTACTATGAATTTATAGCTAAAATTATGGAGTCTTGCATGTCGAGCCAACCAACTATAGTACATATTATTCACCTTGGAATTTCTGTTTACTGTGCTTGTGGTGGGGTCAACCCTATTCCCAAAATGGACAGTTCCAAATACTACTGCATAAAATATTAATGCCAATTTGGAGAAAATTACCAAATGAATGAATGCAAGTAAAACTTAATCCAGGGAAAAAGAAAACTGTTCAATATCACGTCAAAGTGTGCCCAAGTGCAAAACCTAATCTTAAAATGAAAGGACTTTGGTATTAATATTTCAGTCAGATTATGATATTGGCGAGTTAACGAGGTAAGCCCTATGATTAATTGTCTTAAATACCTTTCTGGTGTCCACCGCCGTGAACCATACTCAATCACTCAGATAAATAACCCCTTTTACATAAGTCATGAACAAGCATATATATATTGCCAATATTTTGCTCCAATGTTTTGGATAATTGTACCAAAGAAAAAGAATTAATCCTAGAATGTCTACACATTAATTCATTACGGACGCTGAAATAATGCCGATGAGGCGTTAATTTTTACCTCGCCCACTCACTGATTACGGACTATTTGTTGGCCAATAAGAGGTACAAGCCACGTGAAAATGTAGAGTGAGACCAACGTAGCCATTACACCTTTTTACAAGATGGAAAACATCTTTGCTGTTAGTGATTACATATAAAGAAATCTAACCAATTCACAGGCTATACGTTGTAGAACTGAATGCAAGTCATTCCTACCTGATACCATTAATAATTGGAATAGTCACCGGAAAAAGAGGATTATTAAACTTAGACAATGTTATATTCAGTTAAGCCATGATACCAGATTTTGTCACTTTAAACTTCCATCGGCTTAAAAAACACATCTCAGATAACACATCATGCATGCTCTTGTGGCTGTCACAATGGTACACTGCATTAATTTTTACACATGCCCCAACTACAATATATTTAGAAACGATTCTATTCTAAAGGTTAAGTGAGTTTCTAATCAGTGGTTTATTGGAAACAATTTGAACAGTGCCTAATTTAGCTATTTTGAAATCGGCCATGTACATCCGACATTCGGGTGGATTTGCACATATATAATAACTAGTAGTAAGACTTAATACATACTTTGAGACACGTATTAAGTATTAAAGAGTTAAATAACTTTTCTTAGGAAACCCCTTTCCATCAACCGCACTGTTGACCTATCTTTTTTGTTCTGTTTTGATGTATTGATGTATTATTTAATACAATATGTATATCTCCCCTCATCCCAATGTTAATAAAAGGAAGCTTGGTGGGGACTTTTGGGATATAAGAAATGAATACAGACTGCCATATTGTCTGAATGTCTTAACAATCACCGGGTGTGACCACGTAGACAGGATATCATTCGGGTTTCTCATAATTACTCCATGAGCATGCTTGGTATTGTAGCTTGGGGATATTAAATGTAAGTTTGTTATCAGAGGAGATTGATAGTGAACTTTTAGTACCAGTTAGATATGATATCTATATGACTTCTTTCTGTTTGACAAAGGATTAAGGGTATATGTGTGGGTAATCCTTCCACGCTGATGAAAGAAAGTCACTCTACTAGTTCATGTAATCTACGTCAAATAAGATCAGAACACATGCATTATTACAACATACCCAGGATACCAATAACAACGAAATGTACAAATTAACAAACATGATCAATATTATTATTACATGTTAATGCCATGTATGTAAATATAGCTATATAAACATATGTTTAATTTTTCAGCTCGTGTGAAGTCGTCCATAAATACAAGAAAACGTATATTTTCCCAAAATTATATTACCCTCAAAAGGGCAATTATATTCATGTTACATTTTTTCAGTCTCTTTTTTAATTCGATTGACGTAACATTTATGTTACTTTGATTTTATTAGACCCATGTTGTTGTTACAGACCCAGGGATTGACTAGGTTCATTACATGTCATAAAAGTGCCGGGACATAATATGGTGGCAATACATTCTCTAATTAACACCTGTCACAAAGGGACGGGCAATTTGGGTTTGTCCTCAGGGAATGTGTTATGCAATTTGTGTATTCACGAAATAACATTCAACAAATTATGTACATGGTCCTGTGATGTAGGATTGATGCATTCGTACTTTTTATAAATAAATGAATTGCATTTTTTTTCTTAACCGTGTGCGAAACACGCATAATGTCGGAAAGCGCAAGTTAAATACTGACTTCATCTCACAATAAATCACAAACCCTCTCTTATAATTTGTATATTATTCTATATTTTAATTATGTAAATCACGTTCCTGTCACTTTTAAAGTAGAATACGTTAGTCACTCAACCAATTCCATTATTATTTTCCCAAAGATCAAAGATTAAAGCAGTTATCAAGATTTATTTTCCATATCTTTAAAAATACTTAATCTTTACATTGAAACTGCCATCATGATGTATTATTATTATTATTATTTTTACTATTATTATTGATGTACATATGGTTTGCACCCAACCATGCGCGTGCCAAATTATACAGCGTCAAGCTTTTAGAGCGCCAACTAAGTTTTCCAAAGTAGAAATTAAGCCAAATGAATATATATCAAGTTTCCTTTTGCTAGAACATATGCATGCTGTTGTGTTTTTTCAAGGTAATCTTCGTTCTCGCATTGATAACAATATTTAAAGAATAAGTATTATAAAATATAATACGGGAATATATTACACACGTTATTTACGCATCCGGTTGCTCATAATACAATTTTCCCCAAGGACCACCGTTTTACAAAACGCGATTTTCCGCGTTTCCGCCGAGATTTCACATTATAACAATGTATATCTACAATGAAACCGACAGCTCAGAACAAACCAAATTCAACACTTTTAAGTAGTGATAAAATAGTTTTCATCCTCTGTGCAATCCACTCTGTTGGCATATATGCACGAGAGCTTGTTACAAAACACATCGCGGCCTCCCCGTAAAACAAATCCAAGCTCAAACACTTTCAATACAGAAGTTACCGCCAAAGCAATCGCCCCCGACAGCTAATCCCCTCTGTGCATTTGACCATAAAGTCTACTCACATACCAAGCACCGCGCCAGGAAAAGTACCAGACGCCTCAACCGCCCACCCGTCAATATCATTGCAAGGACAGTATGTACTCCCGCTAACAGTGTGGAGTACTAATTAAACCTTCCAGTAATGTTACCCGCCACTAAATCAGTTTTTTGTAACTTGCTGATACTATTTTGCACATACAAAACATTTATAGAGCAATACATAGCAATTATCCCCCTTTACCAACATATACAAAGGGACACAGTGCTCAACTTAAAACACTTCAATTTGCACATATATCATAATTATACACAAATACATAATAATTATCTCCCTTTACCAATATATACAAACAAAACAAATTTGGATACACCATATATACAAATTTGTATATTTTGTATATGTCATATATACAAACTTGTATATTTTGTATATATCATCTTTCCAATCTTGTATATCCTTTGGAAATATCATCTTTCCAAAGGATATACAAGCTTGTATATATGGATTTTTTTTGCAGTGGACGTAGAATGTTCTCACCACCAGAAGCACTATCCTCCTGAATGTCATTACTCACTTCATTACCTTGTCCAGTCTCAATCTCACTTGCACTTTGAGCTTGCTGTTTCTGTTCTGTAGCAGTCTCATCACCACTATCTATCAGCATCCTTTCTTCTGTGTCTATGCCTCCGTTGTCATCTTGAGCGTTGTCGTTGGGCAATACACCGTTAGGATTCATGATGTTATAACAATCACCAAAATTCAATGAAAATTCACAAAATTCAAAATCCAAAATATGTGCAGTCTACGTTCAACAGTCTACACAATGTCTTCCTAATCATTTAGATGCAGGGAAGATTTTCTTGAACTATATTATAGCAGAAATCAACAGTCTTGATACTCTCAATTGATGTTTATTGTCCGTTATTCGTTGACAATAATAAATGAAAAGCTCATTCTTTTGTATCCGTTAACATGCTTTTCCTTTGAACGTTAGCGTTGAAATGATCAGTGTTGAGGTTCAAGAAACTAGAAAATAACAAGAAAATGTTCTAAGTTACAGTGTAAACAGTGAATTGGCTAAGTTGTTACAAATACAAAATTCTACAAATATTATATCATCTGAAGATAAATGATAGCTTCAACATTACTTTAGATGAACACACATTGTATAAATATGAAGAAGCAGGTTAAAAACTTACATCTGTGTTCTGCAATAGTTCATGACATGTTTCTCCAAGATGGAGACCTTTCAAACTGAAGGTGACAGTGGATGAGGTGACAGTGGATGAGGTCACATGACTAATCCCATGATGCAACAGAACTGATTATAAGTCACAAAAACTTTTGCCTGAACCTGGGATTGAAGCCTGGACCCTTATGCAGCTAGTCCAGTGACATAACCAACAGACCATTGTTAAGGCTGATATCTGTACATGAAATTCATAACATTTTTGCATAACAGATTTGTAACATAAATTATACTTTCTGCACTAACAGTTATTTAAAGTATATCAGTTCGTAAGATCCCATATGAAGCCAATAACGTGCGTCCACAGAGGTTCATGTTGGTTCACTCGGATCCATATCCAAAAATGTTCGGAATGGTTCAATGTATAAGTGTGCCGAGTTTGGTGCTTTTAACCCAAATTGTATAATTTTAGTCTTAACTCTATATATCATGCTATGGGAACTTATCAATGTTATTCTTAATCATCCGTGTTACCTACAGGTGAAACATTCGTGACTCGTCACTATATTCGACTCATACCGTTTTTATGCAGAAAATACTGTTTGTTGTTTTCAGAGATTGTGGTTATATAAGTAATTTATTCTACCGCCATCCTTTGGTGTAACCTGAACGTTTCAATTCATGCATGGAGCAATGCTTTATCTGCTTTGAATTTCTACCACCAACATGATTGCCGTGGCTTGACATCCTTTTCTAAGTGTTGTCGATTTATGGTCAAGTCTGATTTATGATCATTTACTGATCGGAGAGTCTACTGCTTCCCTGGCTGACTGCTGGCCCCAACAAAATCAACAACTCGCGGATACCCCACTATTCGTCACGTGAGCTGAAATATATGAACTTACCGGGACCCACTGGTGTTGGGACCCACATCAAGCAGTGAACACACGGAGAGCATCCACAGGTGGTGTTAACTCTGGTCCAGGTTGTCACATCTTCCCGAGCCAAGAGAGTTAACTGACTGTAAAAGTCCAGTTTCAACCCTTGCCGCACTTGGCTGATAGAATGGAGTACAATTTGGCTGGACTAACGAGTCGATGCATAGTCCAATCAAAATCATGCAACAAAATCGAAATCCGGTTCGTAAACTGCCATGCAGATTTCGGTCGATTGCAGTATTTGTAAAGCATGTGCATCCCGCCTCGTTGTCAACAGATATTTTCAAAATCTTTTCATGTTCTTAATCAAGGTGCTATTGTGATTTGATGAATTTCGCGATGTAAGACCCGTTTTACCACAATATAGATCTTGATTATCGAGCAGATCGTCCTGACTTGGCGCCGCCATTTTGTTTGAAGCAAATGCAAGTGATACGAGAGGTGGAATCTGATTGGTCCATAGGAGAGGCTTAGAAGGGACAAAACTGGTAATAGCCACTGGTGGCGCTACGATCGAGCCCAGGAATTCCAGCCTAGTTCGGCAAGGGTGGAAACTGGACTTCAGTTAACTCTCTTGCCTCGGGAAGATGAGGTTGTCACCGCAGCCGCGTTCAGTGTATGTACACAACTGGACAGTAGCCTCGCTGAACATGCCCAGGGAGTGCACATCGTTCACACTCATATACTAGCCACATAAAGAAACTGTGCACGGAGAAAATATATTCTGGATTGAAATACAACACAGCAAGAACAAAATGATGCAGACGCTGTAGCAGCTGAATGATCGGACCATTAGAAAATGTCAACGGGACCTGAACAACATCTGTTACGATGACGTCAGAAGATCAAAATGGAGTAGGGGGTCAAACGACAAAGTCACAAAGTCAATAACGGGTACGCCAAACGCCGGTAGACACGTTGGCGCCCTTCACTGTGGGAAATGTTGAGATTCGATTCATCTGTAAAGACAACATTTCTCCACCATATTCGAGGTTTGCGAACATGATTTCGACACCATCTTAGACGGTTGACGCGATGACGGTGTGTCAGGATGGGACGTATGGCAGGACGTCGTGGTCGAATCCCGTACTGACGTAAACGATTCCTGACAGTGTTGGGATGGATACGGCGCAGTCCAGGAATTGTCTGGATATCGCCAGCATATTCTATTGGTGACACTCGAACTGTTGAGAATGGCGCCCAATCTTAGCCATGTGCAGTGACATTTGTCATTCGATAATCAGTAGTATTTAACTATTTCATCATGTACTGTGTTGTTATTATACATTCATGCACATGATTTGTGGCTTTTCGAAGTAACACAGGGTCTTTACTCTTTTTGTTTGGCACGTGTTGTTTATTTGCAATATTATTTTACACAATTGCATAATTGTCTTCTTCTAAAGGGATCCCTGAATTTCTTTGTAATTATTTAACACATCCTATATTAGATAATCGATCCTATTTTGCTTCTCATGTGTCTATTATCGTTGTTTCTCAAAACACATCAGACGTGGTCTTGTGTATATTTCCTTCTGCGCTGTGGGCAGCTGTCAACGTAGAATGTTAAAAGGTAAAATTGCATTCCAAAATCCTTAGACTATTCATACAAAATGGAGGTTCAAATTGGCAATTACCTTTCTCTTCCGGTAGGATGAGATGACAATGTGGTTGTTTACCTTCTATCGCCTAACAGGCAGCTTGGGTTGTATACTCCCAAGGGAGCTGAGAATGATTCGAGAGTGCACACAGACCCAGTGACCAGGGTAATAACAGTGCTTTGAGCCCAAGTGCTTTAAGCCCCTGAGTGGTGTGGAAGTATGCACAATATAGAAGGCCTATTACTATTATTATTGTTATTGTAAATTTTATAATGAATTGCATATCTATAATACTTATCATTTCTTGATCTATGCATTTCATCCTCCTTCTTCCGATCCCACATGTGGAAACTTCCTTGAACAAAGTTTCCAGCTTCTAAGCTTCTATGTGCCCAAACACCCCTTCATCACTATGGCGACCGTCCCAGCAATCAGGTCATTTTACCGAATCTCGTGCAGCATGCTGACCTCGATCTGCCCTCTGTCTCATCATTCTCTTTCTTGGAGCGGACAGGCTAGTGTAACTGTGATGTGGGGTAGGATGGGCGGGCATAGATCGTGTGAGATAGGATAAGTATCATAAACATACAATTTATTGCAAAACTTACAAATGTTTAAACTTATCCTACCTCACTCTATGAATTTATCCCACGGTTGGAAGGTGGGTCGCAGATTACCCTAGTCTGTATTCGTCTTGTAACCGTGAGATGAACACGAGGGAGCTGGTGCCAACATGCTTCAATCCTAGGACTGTTACACATCCGCGTCTGGAGATATTTTCTCGTAATGTTATGGGTAAATCACTGCAGTTGAGTGATCTTGAAAACCCCGCTATGCCACATGGACACAGCGTCATGTCATCGGGTATAACACGCGCATGCGTGTTTTCGCATAGGACATCGTACTATGACGACCGCGCAGTTTTGAATTAGGCAAGCTAATCAACCACAACTTGTAACCAATTCGGCAGGGGTCTCCAGTCAATTAGTTCTACAAACAAACTTTTCCGTACCTCTAAGACGCAGGCATTATTTATTTGGCATCTCATTTTCTGTTTTGTTGAAGCTATCACCGCAGGATGGGATACGATCGACAATATCCAGAAGAGGATCTTCAAACCTAACTGCGTCACATGCTCAAGACAGCCGTGGCCTGATAATGGAATTGGGACACTGTCGAAACGGCGGCGCCTTGCGGCGACTTCGTGATAATAGACTTGTTTACGGTCTCTACAGACGAGTTCTTAGCTTCTCCACTGAAGCCTCAAGCCAAAGTACAATAATAAACAAAACAAATTGGCTCTCAATTATTTATTTGTGATGTACAATACGATTTCGCGACTGCCGTGAGTGGTACTCGCATCTTTTATCTGCATTGACGGGTTGTCGTGTATTGATGAGCCAGGACAAGATCGAAATGGATCGTCAGCTACAGAGATATCTCGTATGATTGTAAGAAGTGGGATGCGAAGACCGTGTCGGACTTCCAGAAACATCCTTCCATGATAGCACTGAGGGAGCAGTTTCTATGCAGTACCATCTTGGAGACGTCACCTCTCATCTCGTGTTGGTAGAAAGGATTTTAGGGGGACTCCGAAGCAGATGTTCGTTCTGGATAGCCACCATTGTAGATGGCCATATAGGTGTAACGGGAGCTGAATCGGGACCCGGCAGGTGCGGTCTTAAGAAGCGCTGAATTGGCCGTAATTGTAGTCAACCTCTCTGGGTGAGGGCTTGCGCCGACGTCAATAGACCAAGCAAATGCTGCCATTGTCAAAGATGTAGCGACTGTCTGAGTGCCAGTGGCATGAGTCGTTGTATCATCTTCCATCTGTCCGGAGGGACGAACATCTTTCCGATACCAGTGTCGAAAAGTGCTCCGATGAATTGCAGTTGTCGAGAGGTCGTGGTTTCTGACTTCTCCATGTTTACTAACCAACCGAGCTGGTGGATTAGATTCTTATGAAGGCGAGATGTCGAATTCGGATGTCTCGGTCGGCATGAGCCTGGATGCAATCGTCAATGAATGATTCGAAGACTATTCGTCTAACATGCTGGAACTTCGTAATGGGCTTGGTAAGGCGGGTAAAAAGCACGGGGCCGAAGCAATTCCAAATGGGAGCACCTTCCATTGGTAGTGACGACCTTGGAAAAAACCCTGGAGGTAATGCTGGTGCTCGCGATGGATGGGCACGTGAAGTAAGGCATCTTGTAAATCCAGGCTGACCATGTAGTCTCCTTGTGTGAATGATGGTGATGGAAGCGAGATGGAAGTCATACGACAATGAGATACCGCGCGTTGAACAGCTTCATGTGGAAGATCATGCAAAATTTCTTACTGTCTTTTTTCGCGACCCAAAATATCCTGGGCCTTGGGCCTAAATACACTAGAGCATGTTTGGATAACATAGTAGTGTTGACAGTTGACTGGTCGGGTCTGCATTCTGGATTTGAGTGGACGTTGTTGGTGGTACTCCGATCAGTGGCAGTGGGTATCCATCACTGAGGATCTGGGATACGAAGGGGTCATCGTGGATGGCCCAGTTTGCTGCAAAGTGATTTAGTCTTCCACCTTCAGGTGTTTGTGTAACAGGTACGACTGTGGGCGGAAGTTCCCAGTCGTCCCGAAGATGGGAAGAGTCACTTGTTAGAGACATCACCCTGCCTGGGTGTGTCTCCGGTGTACTTCGTAGCGGTGAAGGAGACCGCTCTCTGTTGAGAGACTCTGCCTCAACCTTTGCAGTGTATTGATAGA